ATCCTGCACTCTCAGATCAAGTCTGACTTCCCACTGTCTGAGCTAAGAAGTAGGGGAAATGGAAGAAGAATGATGAAAGAGTCATTGCAGAGATGATATCCCTGTGACCTAGCAACCAAGGGGAAGGACTGAAGAGAAATAGGTGGTGTGAACTAAGGTTTGCAAGGGTGGTACATCAAGCCAGCAAAACCCATGTTTCCTCATGAGCACATAGCAAGTCCCACTGCAAAAGATCCAACACACACACCAGCAGCTTCCAAACACTTAGCTGACTTTGCTTTTAACGTTGCAGCCTACTTGCTAAGTAAGCTTAAGAGAGGGAGATGGTGACCTATGTCACTTTCCCCATCCTGTAAGAAGATCATAAGCACATCTTCACCACGTCCTTTAGTAAGCAAAATGAAAAACCTACTGTGAAACTTCATTGTGCTACAATGTTTGTCGTCATAAGGCTACTTCCGTATCAGAGCTGTAAGTTAAAAACAGGCAGGCCTCTGAAACTTTATTTGTTCCCAGATGCCCAGCGTTAGAGACTATCTTTGATTTTGAAACAAAACAATTTTTAACAACCAAGGACTCATTTTCTCTTCCCTTTACTCCTGGAATTAACTATTAACTGTGCCAGTATTCTTCCTGTGACTAAAGAAACCCATTCCAATGGGCAGGGAGCCAAGAGGGCCTGCTGAACCTGAGCCAGCGGAGGGTCCCCGTCACTGGGCAGGAATCCGCATCAAGATGAGCACAAGCCCTCTGGGTTTGAAAGTGGTAGCAGCTCTCTGAGACACATACCGATGCTGGCTGTCTGCAGCCACCTGGTAGTCAAATGTGTTCACACAATCAATTCTGCAAACTGTTCATTTCTTTGTTTAACCCATGTACTACTTAGAAGAACATGGGCTTCTCTGGTTGTAAGTGACTGGCTGTGGTTATGAATGGAAGCATGTCTGCCCTGGGGAATTCCAGCTTCTGTTTTCAGATAACGATTAGCCCCACTAAGAAGTAAAACCAAAGCAGTCTTTCTTTTGATACTTGGAAAAGCCCCTACTCCAAAATATTTTTGCATGTGTACAGAAATTACACTTTAAAGCCAGAATCTCTTACAACTTGAATGTAAGCCACTGGAATTACCTATTTAAAAACAAAAAAAACTTATGATGCTCCTATGGGGCAATGCATTCTCTCTCTTAGAAGTAACAGTAGCTAACATTTTATTAAGCATGTTCCCAGTGGCGAAGCGGTTAAGAGCTCGGCTGCTAACCAAAAGGTTGGCAGTTTGAATCCACCAGCCGCTCCTTGGAAACCCTCTGGGGCAGTTCTACTCTGTTCTATAGGATCGCTATGAGTCAGAATCGACTCAATGGCAGTGAGCTTTGGGTTTCTTAACCATGACCTTAAAAAATTCCTGACCCAAAATTAATCTGCCAGCAGTTTTTTTTCCCCTTACACCCAAAGTGGCAATTGGACTTTTCTTTCCTGTTCCAAAGAACAGACCATAACAAAACCATTAACCTGTGATTAAATGAGAAAGACTTCGACTTCTTTAATTTAAATTTCTAGAAGTCTCAGGACTGCAGGTGGGTGGAGGGGTGAATCTTCAGTGAAATTACCTTTTTAATGTTAACTCAGTAGCCATTAAGTACTTCATTACCATGAAACCTGTATTCTTTAAGCAAAAGTTATTTAAGTCTGTGAATTCTCCATTCTCTTGAAGTGGTTTCCCCTTGCATGAGGCAATGTTTCCCCAATTTGCCAAATGTTCATTAAATCATAGAGCAATCAAATGCTGTTTTATTCATTTGAACTAATATATAATTATATTTTAACAGAAGAGAACTAAGTACCACGTAACAGGCATGGTGCTCGCACTTCACTCATAAACTTCTGCCATTTGATAGCACAACATCCCTCTAGGGTAAGCATTACTTTCCACTTGACAGATAAGACACCGAGGTTTGGAGTGATTAAAGAACCTGTGGAAGGGCACATTGTAAGTGGTGCTCTCAACTCCCAGTTTGGCTGACTGCAAAGACTGTGCTGTTTTTCCAGCCTATTTTCTCCTAGAGCCATGATTCCAAATTGGAACCTTGGCATTGTGAAAGGCACCATCTGCTTTTCCAGTTGAAACAACCCAAATGTCCATCAACAGACGAATGCAGAAACACAATGCAGTATACACATACAATGAAATATTGCTTAGCCATAAAAAGGAATAAAGATCTGACACATGCTACAATGTGGATGAACCATGAAAACATTATGCTAAATGAAGGAAACCAGACACAAGAGGACAAATACTGTATGATCCTACTTACATGAAATATCTAAGATACGCAAATGTATAGAGACAGAAAGTAGATTAGAGGTTACCAGGAAGAAAGGGGAAACCCTGGTGGCGTAATGATTAAGTGCTATGGCTGCTAACCAAAAGGCTGGCAGTTTGAATCCACCAGGCGCTCCTTGCAAACTCTATGGGGCAGTTCTACTCTGTCCTACAGCGTCGCGATGAGTCAGAATCATCTTGATGGCAACTGGTATTTTTTTTTTTTTTTAGGGAGGAATGGGGAATGAGGAGTTGGTGCTTAATGGGTACAGAGTTTGGGATGATGGAAAAGTTTTGGAAACAAACGGTGATGGTTGCACAACACTGTGAATATAATTAATGATAATGAATTGTACACTTAAAATGGTTAAAATGGCACATTTTATGTTATATATATTTTACTACAGTGGAAAAAAAACAAAAAAAAAAACAAAAAAAAGTCAACCCAGCACTGGACAGCAGTGGTTCTGGGGCTAGGAGACTGCTGGGTGGGAGTGTCTCGTTTCTACTTCATTCCACCTGCTTGTCCAGAGGAACCCGAGTACAGTACAGGTACTTAATTAATGTGCCAGGCAGGAGTTAGGAGGCTCAGGTTCCAGTCCCGCTTTTGGCACTAATCAAATATGTGGCTTTGGCTAAGTCCCCTAACCTTGCTGTGCCTCTATTTTCCTTAAGTACAAAATTGGATATAAGGATGCCGGGCTGCATACCTCAGAAGGTTGATGTTGTTGTTGTTAGGTGCCATCGAGCCAATTCTGACTCATAGCGACCCTACAGGACAGAGGAGAACTGCCCTATAGGGTTTCCAAGGAGCGGCTGGTGGATTTGAACTGCCAACCTTTTGGTTAGCAGCCGAGCTCTTAACCACTAAGCCACCAGGGCTCTGAGGTTGATGTAAAAGGTGTTAATAATGACACAGGTGAACTATTTTTGAAGACTATAAGGTTCTTGACAGCTTATCATTGTCAGAACATAAGCAGGCCATCACAGCAGCCAGGCAGCAGCTAATGCAGTCCAGTAGGTCCACACATGCCAGCCGGGGAAACTAGTCCTGTGTGAATGTCACCCACTCCCCTAAGAAAGCTGGACTCAAGGCGTCCAAGGAGGTCTGGCTGGGCCCGAAGCCCCAGAGCTTCCTCCAAGGCAGATCTGCCTGCCTGCCTAAATAGGTATCCACAAGGTGATGCTGAATGGAGGTCCTTGAAGAGCAAACAGCCTCCCCTCCCTCCAAGTCTCTGTGCACTTGCAAGCTGGTTGGCATTTAGCTGGGAGGGGGGTAAGGTGCCATCTGGTACAGCACCCGGCGTTGAGTTTCAACCCCATATGCTACAGAACCAAGACTGGTAGAAGTGCATATACCATTCATTAGCAGGCAGAGGACTCAGGAAGACAGACCCCATGCAGCTGAGACTGGTTGCATGACTGGGGAAAGAACCTTCCACAGTTTTTTCTGAACAGCCAGGAGCCCACCTAAACTCCCACTACCCCCTCTGCATTAGTTCCAGTCCCCAGAAAGAGAAAGGGATCAGATCAGCAAAACAGTGAATCACTGAGCACTTTGACACAATGACCCCTCCAGGAGAGGGTGGAGAAGCTAGTCTGGCAACTGCCTACACAAACAGGGCAATTCTGAAGAGCAGCAAACAAACCAGTTTAGCCCCAATGCCCATTTTGCATAAGACTGCACTCTACAAAAACAGCATCCAAGGGGCACTTGTTGATCGATACCGATCGTTGTTAACACTAAGGTTTGGGCCAAGAAAGAATTCAAAAGGCCCTTTAGAAGGAATTCTGGATGACGTGGTTTTGTGAATATCAATGTTAAGTATCCTTAGACTCGTTTGGGCCAGTGGGAGCACCAGAAACTTCAATCAACAGATCTTGGCGTACTTTGTTTCCTAAGGAAGTTAAGGAACAGAACGGTTTGAACGTATAAACCACACGGAACTTGTTAGTCACGAAGTGACTGTAAAGGTACCTGTTCTGTTTATGCTAATAAGGGGTTACACAAGCGCCAGGAGGGAGGCGCCGGGGGGATGCTTAGATCACAGCGGGACCGTCTGCCAGCTGGCCTCGGAGTGGGCAGTGACCAAAACCAAACCAAGCCAAACCAAAACCATTGCCGTCGAGTCGATTCCGACTCATAGTGACCCTCGGAATCGACTCGACGGCAGTGGACACGGGCCACGGTTCCTAAATCCAGGGAAACAGCAAAAACGAACTGCAACTGGGTTAAACCTGGGCGGGTGCCATCACGTTAGGCCAGGAGTGTGGATGTTAAAAGCAACGTGCATCCCCCAAGTCGGGCACGGAAAGGGACATCCCAGTGTACACAGGTACTGAATGAGGACAGCAGGAAATTCCACCACTCCTTTCCCCTCCCCACACCCAAACAACCCTCGATAGTCGTCAAACATAAGGAAAAGTGTCATGTACAACCAAATGAATGACTTCACTCTTCTCTCAAAAACCTAAAACACAGTCTCCGTTCGGATTCACAAACAGGAGAGCAGAGTCGTCCGCGAACCATCACCTACAACCACCCAGGGGCTAAGGAAGAACGGAGAAAGCGGGTGTGCCCCTCCCTAGGTCCCTCACAATCCTCTAGGGTTCCGGTCCAGTTTCCTCAGTACCGGGAGGTGAAGACGCCGCTTCTCGCTGGCGTCCCCGCTTCTGTTACCTCGCTCGCGCGTCCCTCGGCGTCCGGTACTTCAACCGTCGGTTCCGCTGGTGCCTTCTCCTCCTCCCCGGCGGCCAAGGGGCCACTCCGAGCCTCACGCGGGTCCCCGCCGCCCCCTGGTGCCGCCTGGCTGCTGCCGTCCACGCTGGCGCCGACTCCTCCCGCCGACGAGGCGGAGGCGGCAGCGCCAAGTAGCCCGTGAGCCCCGTCGGCGTCGCCGGCAGCCACGCTGTGCACCAGCCACGCATCCACCCGGGTGCGGGGGATGAAGGGGACGCCAAGCGTGCGCACCTCCCGGAACAGCAGGCCCTCGGGCAGCGTCGCGGGGTCCAACTCTCGGCCCTTGGAGTGCAGCTGACCGGCGTGCCCCCACCCTCCGGAGGCCGGGAAGGGGCTGAGCGCGTAGAAGGAGCTCGTCGGGCAGCCCAGGAGCAGCAGCTCATCCCGGAGTAGGGCGGGCTGCGGGAGCAGCAGGTAGAAGTCTAGGTCTACGCGGAGCCCCGCCAAGCTCAGCAGGATCGTGAGGTGCAGGAGGCCCCCGCCGTCCGACCACCACGGCTTCAGGTACTTCATCTCCCGCCGCGCGCCTGGGGACGCCCCCTGCTCGGCGCCGGCGGGTCACGGCACTCCTGCCGCGGCTTTGGCACTTGCCGTCCCCGCGCGCCGCCAGCACCTGCCCGGAAGAGAAAGAGAAACGAAACAATGGACCCGGGCGCGCAGCGGCCGTCACAGGCTCCCCAAGCCGGGCACAAAGGCACTTCCTCGTTAGCCGGCACGAAGCCTGGCGTGGCCCGGACTCCAGAGGGCAGAGGAGGAGCCACCTGCGCGCCAAGCCCGCCTGCCGGTAGCAACGCGCCGCCGCCAGGCCCCGCCCCAGACCGCGAGCGCAGCCGCAGGGAACACGCCCACGGCCTCCCCAGGTCCGCGCCTGTGGGAGGGGCCCGCGCGGGGCGGGGCTCCCCAAACTCAAAGGCTCTTTATGCTGGGGGGTGGGAGGATGGAGCCGGAGGAGGAGTGGGAACGCAAAGTTCTCGGGGAGATGAAGTTGTTCTGGGATAGAAGTGGCTCCTTCTAACCAACCCGGTGGCCTTGGAGTGGATTTAAAAAAAAAAAAAAACCCACCAAACCCTTTGCGGTCAAGTCCATTCCGATTTATAGCGACCCTACAGGACAGGGTTGAACTGCCTCATAGGATTTCCAGGGAGCGCTTGGTGGATTCAAACTGCTGACCTTTTGGTTAGAAGCCATAGCTGTTAACCACTGTACCACCAGGGTTTCCTTGGAGAGGCTGGGAAGGGATAATACGTGTTCTTGTTAGGTGCCGTCCGGTCGGTTCAGACTCATAGTGACTCTGTGTACAATAGACTGAAACACTACTCTGTCCTTTGCCATCCTCACAATCGTTGTTATGGTTGAGCCCATTGTTGCAGCCACCGAATCAATCCATCTTGTGGAGAGTCTTCCTCTTTTTCGCTGACCTTCTACTTCATGAAGCATGATGTCCTTCTCCAGAGACTGGTCCTTCCTGAAAACATGCCCAAAGTATGTGAGAGGAAATCTCACCATCCTTGCTTCTAAGGAGCATTCTGGCTGTGCTGCTTCCAAGACAGATTTGTTTGTTCTTCTGGCAGTCCATGGTATATTCAATGTTCTTTGCCAACACCGTAATTTAAAGGCATCAATTCTTCTTTGGTCTTCCTTACTCATATGTGTAGACTGGGAGTAAAGTAAGTGGGCAGCTGCAAGGCACTGGGCAGCTTGCAAAGGACTTTCAGCTACGTGAGTAAGTGAGCTCGGAAGTCTGACCCCCTGGATTCAGATCCTACCTCCACCACCTGCCAGTTGTAAGACGTTGGATGAGTTTCTTAAACTTTCTGTTCCTCAGTTTCGTTATCTGTGAAATGGGGTTAATAGTACCTGTACAATAGGAATGTAGTGAGGTCAGATGAAATATGTGTGAAGGCTACAGTCTGATGTATAGACTCCACAGCTGTCATTGGGACCAAACAACACTCCCGCTCATCCACCACCAGGCCCTGGGCTGGCCTCATAGATGCCTCTCTTTTCCTTGGACATGCCCTGCATATTGCTAGGCCTTCACTCACAGTCTCGTTGATTCCTTAAATGGGGGTTAAGAGAGTCCCAGGGTGGTGGTTTTCGATCAGCTACTAACCTAAAACCTTGCAGTTCAAACCTATCCAGCGATGCCTGGGATTACAGCCAAGAAAACCCTAAGGAGCAGTTCTACTCTGTGACACATGGGGTCGCCATGAGTTGGAATTGACTGGATAGCAACAGGCTTGGTTATTTTTATTTGTGTTTAAGAGCACCAGCTCTGGAGTTACCCTGTGTGAATTCAAATTCCCCCTTTAACCACTTACTAGCCTGGATTTTAGGCAAATCACTCACTCTCTCTGAGCCTCAGTTTCTTCACTGTAAAATGAAACCAATAATAGCACCTCCTCCGCAGACCACAGACCTGTTGTGAGCCTCAAATGAGATAATGCATGTAAATCACTTGGTGGGTAGTGAAGCTCTCTGAGTGTTACTTATTATTTCCATTACCCATCCTGCAGGCCTAACCCAAAAGCTACATCCTCTGAATTTTCACCAGTTGGAATTAATCTCTCTCTTCCATCTGTTCTGCCCCTGTGCTTTCTCCATATGCCAACATTGCAACACTTGGCACATTCTACTTTGTGTTGTAGTTGAGATTGGTCTGATCTGGCCATTGGAAATTCTTGAGGGCAAGGAACCTTTTTGGTTCATCTTTGTACCCCTACAGTACCCAGCATGCGGCCTTGCAAATGTAGATGTTGCTAACCCCCCCTGGGGATGCTTGGGGATTGTAAGGGTGCGTGTGTGTCTACTTATGTGATATTCACCACCTGGAGGTTGGCGGTTGTGTAAGAAGTTGAGCAAGACTTGTTTTAAGAGACCTCTTCCTTCACCTAGTTTTCTCTTCTCTCTTCTGGGCCTAGTGTGATAAAGATTCCAATTTGCCCAGTGGGAGCCAGGAGAGTGGAAGTAGACTTCTTAAAGTTGCCTCTGCTTTAGGTCTTGGAGGATGGACTAGGAGGTGGTGTGATGGTTAAGATTGTGCATCAACTTGGCTGGGCCGTGATTCTTCGTGTTTTAATGTAATCACTCCCGTGATTGAATATACTGTGAGTAGCCAATCAGATGAAAGGTAGTCTCCTTGGGGGTGTGGCCCGCATCTGTATATAAGCAGACGTTCTGGCTTTTTGCTCTGTCTGTATCCTGCGGCTGCTTCCTGTCGTCTCATCTCCTGTTCTTGGGACTTGAGCTGTCAGCTTATCTGCCGAACCTGGGATTCGTCAATCTGCACAGCCTGTGAGTGGGAGCCCTGCTCTCCGACCTTCCAATCCTGGGCTTGCCAGCTTCTGCAGCTGTGTGACTTGGGAGAGGCCTCTACCCTGATCCACGGACTTGGGACATCCTAGCCTCTACAATTGCCTGAGCTGTTTCGTTGATATAATCTCTCTATATATATATATTTCTACACTTTACTGGTTTTGCTTCTCTAGACAACCCAGCCTAAGACAGGTGGCAAAGGGGCTGGAGTTGTAGTGCTCACCAGGTTAGCAAGATTGGGAACAGAAGCCTTATCCATGGCACTTAGTCCCTGGACAGGGGGTTCAAGTTCCAGGCTCAGTAAATGTTTGCTGAATTCAGGTTTTTACTGAGGACTGACGCACTGCTCGAAGCTATGAAGGATATGAGATGAAGTTCTTTTGCTAGGAAAATGTACAGTTTCATTAGGGAGATTAGATACAGACTGTTGAAACCCTTAGAAATGAGAAAAAGAATGTACTCATATGCCCAAATATTGAGGAGATATAAATGATGTCATAGTTTATAAAGGAAGTGCTATAAACCGGTTGAGAAGAGAAGCAGTGCCTTCTTCAATATGGTAGCTCCCTGAATCTTGCACACAGTTGGTGATCAAAAAATGTCTTTTCACTTAAATTGAAGAGATTTCAGCTGAAATGAGTTTCGAGAGATTTGCACAGGTAAGAGCAGGAAAGGCATGCAGAATTCCTTTCTAACATTAGTTGGGGAGGGGGCTGAAACCTCACCTTTTTACAATGTGAAATTGATCATCACAGTATCTATCAGAATGCTCAGTTCAAAAGTGGGGCTTAACTTTGTAGTGTACAGACTAGTGGAAAGGACATAGTGGACCTCTAGGTGAAATACTAAACAGGAGACTCATATCAACTCCACATGCCTTTGATCTTGCTCACAACAAAATGTCTCATTTTTAGGAGCGCAGAGAAAGGAGAGTGAGTGAAATTAGGACAGGTTTCTGCTTAGGTTTGTTTCTAGAATTCCTCCATCCAGGAATAACCAAATAAGAAGTCCAGATCATTGTCTTGTGAAAGTCTTAGAAAATCATTTGCATTTATTAAAATCCTTAAACCAGTGCTGCTGAAAGGGTGCTGAGGAACTGGTTCCAGGCCACACACTGATTGTTGCTGATCAGATGAGTTAAGTAACAGAAATGAGAGTGTTTAGAAACTTTTACAGCGATTTGACGTTGTTATGACATCCAACACATGATCAGTGAGTTTGATTTTGTATACCTTTGTTATTTTACTTTATTTTTCTAGAAATCAATCTTTATTGTATTTTACAGAAGTGCTGACCTGTGACACATTGCAAATTAAAAGAAAACAAAAAGTTGAGTCTTCACCAGGGTTACACTGAGAAGCACTGCCTTAAATGGCGTCCCTGTGAGGTAGGCAGCTTCTAAAACGACTTCCAGTGATCCCCTGCCATCAGGTGTGGGCTGGACCTAGTGACTTGCTTATATGGCAAAAGTGATGAGATGTTGTTGTTGTTGTGTGTCGTTGAGTTGACTCCGACTCATAGCAACCCTATAGGACAGAGTAGAACTGTCACACTGGACTTCCTAAGCTGTAATCTTTACAGAAGGAGCCCTAAGGGCACAGTGGTTAAGCGCCTGGCTGCTAACCAAAAGATCGGCGATTCAAACCCACCAGCTGCTCCACAGGAGAAAGATGTGGCAGTCTGCTTCTTTAAAGATTTCAGCCTTGGCTCCACCAGACTGCGTCCAGTACAGCTAGATGGTGCCCGGCTACCACCACTGACTGCTCTGACCAGGATCACAACAGAGCGTTCTGGACAGAGCTGGAGAAGGATGTAGAACAAAATTCTAACTCACAAAAAAAGAAAGACCAGATTTACTGGCCTAAAGGAGACTGGAGAAACCCCGAGAGTATGGCCCCCAGACACCCTTTTAGCTCAGTGGTGAAGTCATTTCCGAGGTTCACCATTCAGCCGGGGAGTGGACAGCCCCATAAAACCAAATAGGACTAATGAGGCACAGCAGTCCGGGGACAAGGGCCAGAAGGCAGAAGGGGACAGGAAAGCTGGTGATAGGGAACCCAAGGTTGAGTAAGGATAGTGTTGATGTGAGGTTGTTAACCATTGTCATAGGGTAACGTGTACTAACTGTTAAACGAGAAACTATTTTGTTCTGTAAGCCTTCACCTGAAGTACAATAAAATAAATACATAAATTAATGCTTGAATGAATGAAAAAAAAAAAGATTTCAGCCTTGGGAACCTTATGGGGCAGTTCTACTCTGTCCTATAGGGTCGATAAGAGTTGGAATTGACTCCATGGCAACGGGTTAATCTTTACCATAGCAGATCGCCAGGTCTTTTTTCCCTCAGAGCCACTCAGTGGATTCAAA